TTTCAAGTTTATCTCTAACTGAAGAATTTGCCTGTTTTCTCTGCAGTTGTCTAAGTGCAGGTCTGGGTTCTGCTGGTGGGAAGTGCACAGGGATGAGAGTCAGCAGGTCCCTACTAACTGTAATCACTCTGAAGGGGTGAGCTACTCCCAAGACAGGCAAGTATCTGAAACAAAACCCATAGCATGTCTCAATCAAAGACATTCAAGGAGGGAGAGAAAAAACAGCAGCTTACTATTGATTATCAGATATGAGAAGAAATCTCATCCCAGTTATGGAAAAAGAGTAATATTTGTCCTGAATAGCTCATCCTAGGAGACTGTAGGTTCAAGAGACCAGTACAGTGGAGACAGTCTCCTAGGCACCCACCATTTTACACCTCCTGACCATGGAAGCGGATCCCACCACAGGCACTGCCTAACAGCACACAGAAATTGTTCCTTTTGTGAGTCACCCAGTGAGTCATTCAGGACTTCGTTCATCCTATCCCCCAGAATTACTGCACTGCACATCAGACACTCACTGAGAGTTTGTTTCTATATGCTTTTCCCAGGTTTTCTGTCATTGAGGTGAAATTATCCTGTGCTCTCTTAAAGAGGTGCAGAAGGACCTTCTGCTTACAGAACGGTAACATCCTTAAGTAACTTGATGTCATATATGTATAAGTAACACATAATATACAGAGCATATAAATACAAATATACAGGTACATGCCCTCTATAATTAAAGGAACATGTCCATACTCAAAATATTTTATGTTGTGCCAAATGATGAATTCTACCCTGAGGTAATGAGTCAGGTAAAACATTAACATAAGTTTGATAGTATATCTCAAATGCTGAACAGAACTGTGTTTCTATCAGGAGTTTGGGAGAGTGGCTTGAACTTTGCACTTAATTAAAAACACCACTCACTACAGGGTCCAGTAAAATCTGCTGTTCCAGGTAATACCTCTCTGTATGTACAATGAATGCCAGACAGTTCAAATAATGCCATTGTTACTGAGCATCATCACCATCAAACATGGGTGTGCTCCTATTCCAACAAGTATCAGCACAGATAAACCTGGTCACTGTCACTCATGCTGGCAGGCTCAGGAGAGCCAAAGGATGAGGAACAAACTCCATCAGAGGCTGACTATATTCTCACCATCTGGAGAGGAAGTATAGTACTGAGGCAAATAGGGCAGCTGACATTGCTGCTGCCCCTTACACCAGCTATCCCATGGACAAGCAGCAGGCTGTTTGTACTATTTTTTAATCAGTTTTATTTTCCAGGCTGAAATCTTCCCCCTTCTTCCACCTTTCCTTTCAAAATAATTTTTTAAATTCCATTTCTTCTAAATTTCTTATCAATATATACCTCTTGAGAAAGCAGGTCACTCATGGGTTACCTTTAATTCAATACTCCCCATTGATTTTAATGGCTGCAAGATCAGGACCCCACCAAATAATGTGTTTGAGCTATCAGAGTCAGCAAGTGGCCTTCCTCTCTTCCCCCACTGTCAGCAAACATCTGTAATGGCAAGTAACAGGTAAACTGATACCTTGCTACTGGGAAGCTGAAAAACTTCTAATATACAGCTGAAACTAGATAATGGTTATAAAACACTCCTAGTTCACTTCTGCTGTCTTATAGCTTCTAATTCCTCCCCCTTGATGTCCTCCCTTCCAGAAATTCAATACAGAGCCAACACTTAGTACAAGTTCCATGTGCTTCCCTCAGGCATTTCTACTGAAACCAGCTGGTTTCCTCCAATGTAGGGAGCATCCACTTCCATCACTACACAGTGAATGAAATGGCATTGCTTCCCTTCCTCTGATACAATCTGTTTCCTTACTGCAATGTTTTACAGTGCTGGCACATACCAGGGTTGGTAAGAAAGCATCAAATACTTGAACTGACAGAGAACTGCTTTGATGCCTCTCTGCAAACACAGCGCAGCAAAGCCAGCTCTGGACTTGTCTTTTACTGATGAGCCTCCAGTGTTTGTCCCCAAGTGGCAGGGGACCTTCTGATATTAGTTAATTCTAATTAGTTAATTCTAATTAGTTAATTCTATTCGTTAATTCTAAACCATCATTTTTCAACAGCAATAAAGATAAATATTACCAAGCACATCACTTCTGAGCTAAGTACAGAAAATACTTTACAGGAGTCACTTCAACACTTGCTTCTCGTTTCATTATGGTTATTAGCAAACTGACTTTGTGCAGGGTGACCTTGCACATCACCAGGATGTGTCTATTAAGAAAACAGCTGCTGCTGAAGTTTTTTAATGCAAGAAAGACAAATCAATAAATTGGATCTCCAAGGATATCTGTGATGATGATTATTCCCATGGACAACATTGGCAAGAGATGTCTAAAAAGGAGCAAAGACCAGAAGCTCCCCAGGCAAACAGAAGAATGGAAAAAGGGGCAAGGAGCACCAAAGGGGTGCTGGTGGAGGCAGCCCCTGTGGCCCTGCTGCCAGGAAAAGACAGAGACAGACAGGAGGGAGGAGAGTCCAGAAGGGTCTGAAGGTGAGGATCAAACATGAGCCAGAGACAGGGAGGAGGGAGACAGCTCAGGGGAGCTCTGCATGCTCAGAAAGGTTATGCAGTGTCTGAGCAGAACAAAGGGGCTGTGTAGCCTTGGGATGATGAACTGACACTGCAGTAGGATTTTGGAAAGAGTGGAAGGATGCAGTACCTGCAAACTAATATGTGTGCATGATTTCATATTTCAAAACTCATGAGTTTTGGTGCTCTTTGAATCAACACAGATTCAAAGATCTCAACTGTGTCAAGTTTAGACACAGCATCCCATTTATCTTGGCACAACTCAAATCCCTAAATTGTCCCTGTCTTTTCAACCTCCTCACAGGAACTTTACTTCCAGCTTTGTTAAAACATGAAGTAGCCAAGAAACTGCTGTACAGACAAATACCAGCTGAGGTGAAGGCTTAACCCTGGGGCAGGGTGTGGGGGCAGCCTGGTGGGCAGGGCTGCAGAGCTGCCTCCAGCTGTCACTGCCCTGCAGCACCCACTCCCTCTTCCACTGCTGGAGAGCTGGTGTGAGCAATTCTCAGATGTGCTGGGAAGTGCTGAGAGCACCTGAATACAAACTGGTGAGCATTTCCTACTTGTGCCATTTACTCAATGTTGTGAGCTCCCCCCTCCAGCCCAAATTTAACCATCCTGCAATAAATGCTGCTAAGGGGAAGGTGATGACCTCAGTCTCTCACACGGACAGCAAAGGGCACAGTGCAGCTCTCCACACAGTGACCCTGCTTTTCATCACTTTCATGTCACACAAGTGGCAAAGGCAGTAAAGTCAGCAGTGTTTCCTGGTGTTTCCCTCTGCTCTCCCTCTCTGCCCTGAATTTTGTCCTGTTCAGTGGAGACTGGCTCATTTCACTTCAAAAAACTGGGCAGAAGAAGAAAATGATGACAGGACACATGTGTTAACAACGAGAAAACACCAGCTGCTAACATGGCTCACTACCAGTCTTGAACCACAGCAAGCCCTGAAAATGAGGCAGGGGTTTATTTTTAACATCTGTGTCAGATCTCTTTGCCTTTTAAAGAGCATTCCTCTGCTGCTCAGGCCCCTTATCTGCTCCTTGGCACATCAGTGAGCTGGTCCAGCAGCTCTCCCTGCAGCTGTGCCCAGGAGCCTGAAAGCTGGAGTGTCCCTCCACTGCCTCAGCAAGTGCTGTGCACTCTGCCAGAGTAATCCTCTAACAAATATGCACACATGGGAACAGCAGAAGAGCTTCACAGTGTCCACAGATGTGTGCATAGCAACACACCAAGCTTCAATTCTACTTCTCTGGGCTCCAGATAGCAAAGAGTATATTGCATATATTAAGCACAAAACTTAAATAAGTTTAATTTTTTTTAATATAAAATACTAATAGAAAGCTTTTTACTACCTCAATAAAATATCCTTAGGCTAGGAGATCCTATCTAGGAGTCAAAATAAAATTTTAATCCTCCCATTCAAACTGCCACACAAACTGTGATGAAAGGATGCAGCACTGGGAAATAAAAAGCTTGCTGATCATATTAATTCTCCATCTTCCATTCAGCTTCCTACACCAGTATCCTGTTTCCTTTTTAACAGCCAACAATGCTTCTCTATTTTCTTACGTGATTCCCCTAAAATGCCCCATGTCAGACTTAAAAGCAATGCTTCTTAGTCACTAAATGAACTCTAATTTTTGTTATGGTTTATAGAAGATCTCTGACATCTACCTGTAAATAGTGACACTGTACACTCTAAAAGCCTGCTTTGTGGTTCATCATGAAATGGCTGCTCTGCACAGAGAGCCTGCAATCCTTTTAGTTTAGTCAGACTGACCCTGTGACCAAGTGGCAGCTGAGGGACAAGGACTGCAGAGTCCACCTCTGAGTGGCATGGACTGCATGCAGTGACAACTTTTGAGTTTCTCTTGTGTATCCTTTTATATAGCAGACAAAAAATTACTTAGTAAGTGTTTTATTACTGAAAGCTGTGCACCTTTTAATAATGATATTTTACAAACCAGAGAAGCTAGTGCTAGCTAAACTCATAATTTGACAAGAAAAGACAGCTACAGGAAAGAATTTTCTTTGTTTCAGGAAATTCTACACTGGTTGGTAGTTATTACATTGAAGGCTGCTGCACAGCACAATTTTTTTAATGAGACACAAGTGAATCAGTTGGTTTAGATACACTGACACTTGTAACAGCTTAAAAAACTGAAAATTAAAATAGTTCCCAGTACATGAAGGTTTCCCTAGGAGTATTTCTGGAAAAAATGGACTACATCTAGTTTTGCCTTCCTGGGTCAAAACTCAAAAGTCCTATGAGAGAATTTTTGTTCCAGGCAAGGTAAGCAAGACCATTTGTGCAGAGCTGTACAAAGGTGCCTGGTGAAACAAATACAATTCAGTCACCTGCACATGTCAGGCCAGAGCCAGGTGCCCCTGTTGCTGTGTGAACAGCAGGGTCAGCAGCAGCACCATCAGCCTTACCTTGTTGTAGTACTGCACCTGCACCGAGTGCCACTGCCCGTCGCTGACCCCGCCCGCAATGAACGGCGCCACCGTCGTGGTTGTCTCCCCTGCAAAACAGCCAGGAGGGAAAAGTGAGTCACCATCACTGCAAGAAACACAGAGAGACCCTCACTGGGCACAGGATGCAGCCACCTTGCCTCATCGGGGAGGAAACTGGGTTTGTCCTGCACGACAACAAATATCCCCAGTTTCATGGAGTTACTCTGGTGCACAAAAACCATTTTTTAGAACATTTGGGTGACTTACATTTTTTTTATCATGCTTCTCCAAAGTGTGGTAGCAGATGCATTGAGTACCTGCAACTATTGCTGAAGTGATCAACTGAGGGAGAAATGTACATGAATTTTTCTGCATTTTTGCCACGAGCACCCTTTGAGGTGTTTTTTTAGTATGATGAGTATTGTGATGGAATATTTTGTCAGGGAAGGGAAGCTATTCCCTGTTAGAGCTGAGACAGTGAAATCCAAAAGTACTCTAGTATAAAACCCTTGGTAACCTTGGGCTCAGCAAAATTTTACCAGTGATTAATGAAATTATTGGCAGCCTTTCAGTGTTTATATTTGAAAGCAAGACTTTGCCATTGCAATTGGAAAGCTGAAGCTTTTAAGCCAGGACAGAGTCAGTAGACCCAGCTCAGTAACCAGGCATATCTGTTTTGAGGTAGCAGCAAAATAAACATTCATGTTGAAAGTACATAATAGGCCTGGCACAGAGAAGGGATTGCTCACTTTTTTTTCTTTTTTTTTTAACAGTTGGAAAATTCTACATAATAAACCACAGGAAAAGTAACTCCCCCTGTAAACTAACAAAGCTCATAGTATTGTTGAGCTTAAAAAGTACTTTCAACTCTGTATTTGCAACAAATACCTAAGTCAAGTATTATTCTTGTGTCCCCTACTCTCCTTTAACTCCCATCCCATGTATTTCTGTGATTTAAACAATACATATTTCAGTTTAGCATGTATGACATCCTGCTGTGATGGTTTTTATCATTTAGTGATAAAATCTATACAAATAATTGGGCTTTTTATTCAGCTATCAAGTGTCTGCAAAAGGAAGATCACTGTTCTGCAATCCTTTTGCTCTGCTTTCTGAGAAAAAGTTGTTGCGACATGTAACACAGTGAGATCAGGTGTCCAAAACTTGTACTGTTCATTAAAAGCCACTTAAAACTATAAAACATAAACCATTCTCCTTCCAAAGAAAATACCATTTGTAATATGCAGGACCAGACCTGCTCTCAGGTGCAGCAGTGCAAATCTAAATTTAGTTTCATGTATCTTAAAGGAGTTCCTTCACATTTAAATGCCTATAAGTGCAAGCAGAATTTATTTTTTTCCCATTCATCCTCAGGGTACCTTCCAAGCAATTTGATTCAAGTTTAGACAGGCGAAGTAGAGCTACAGAAGAAAGCACATCTCTCTGCAACATGTTATTTCCTTACACTAATCCATTCAGAAACCTGCCTTAAAATCTAATTTGGACAACTTTGAGGTAATAAAGGGGAAATGTAACTGGATATCTTCAACCCAAAGGGCCCACTATGCACTCAGCATTGCTGGTAAATCAATGGGGTCACACAGGATTCAGCACGGGGTCTGAGGGCAGCAGCCATCACTGGTGATGAGTGTGCAACACCAATGCAGGCAGTGCTTCTGCTTCTATGGCTTTACTGCTTGCAATGTCTCACTTTCCACAAAAATAAAACAGGAGTTGTCCTGAATATGGATAATGGGAAATAGCAGGATTATTTCCTGAACTATGTGCCCAATATAGAGGCACAAACATCTCACTTCACCTACCCATAACTCTACTTGACTTAAAGGACAACAGCCCTTTCTAGATATTTGTTTTAGTTTCAGTAGAAAAATACCTTAAACCTGTGACAACCAGAGTTTGTCTACACTACTGAGATTTCATTAAGTCACTGAAAGCACAGATCTGCTTCTGGGCATATGTCCTGCTTGAACTTTGCTTGTCAGCCCTCCCCTCTCTCTTCTCCTACAAGCACCAAAGACACTTGCTCAGTTCTAGTGCAGAAAGCAGCCAAAGCTGCCACTTGTTGTTTCCTGGCCCACTGTAGCAATGAGCATGCAGTTTTTTTCTCCTCAATTCACAGTTCTCTTCAATTTGTTGGTTTTTATGGCTTCTTCTAAGAGGAGGTGCTTCTCCAGGGCAGAAATGCATTCTAGAGACAGACTGCTCCTCCCCAGTCCCTAATGAATGGCAAGCCATTTTCACTTCTGCTAGCTTTTCCTTTGGCTTGCATTGATTTTTAAGATAACATTTATGCACCTCTGATGGTGTAGTATAAACACACAACATTTATCACAGTATGATAAAATGAAGTCCCATTTAAATTTAAGCAAACATTGGCTTGGAGGCCAACATTCAGGCTAGTGCCAATCTTTTATAGTAGTCATAAACTCTGGCTTTTATAACTGATATGTTGACAAGCTCCTGCCTACGACAGTGAGAGTGATCACCACAAACCGCTACAATCTGGAGCACACCCGGCATCAGTTGTTTACTGTGCAATGTCAGCCAGTAAATTAATGAGGCAGCAAATAGCCATATAAAATCACTGAAGTGCATTTCCAAATGGCTTGAGAGGATGTCCTGACTTCAATGAGGAATGCTTGACTCGAGTGAAAGCTCACCTGCAGAGAAGGTGAGCTGGATCTGCTCCTCGATGATCTCCAAGGCAATGAAGTCGTGCTTCTCGTTGAAACGCCCGTTGTAGAGGAGGAGAGCATTCCTCTCCCTGGTTGCAAACCTAGAACACAGAGACATGGAGTTAGCTTGTGCTTAACAGCTTATGGATTAAGGACTGATGGTCAAGTCACCCAGAAGAAAGAAGGCATTGTGTTTAGCAGATAAACAAGCCTTTGAATCAATCTGCAGAGAGAAAATTGTAAAACTGAGGAGTCAGCCGCAGGATAAATCTACTCTTTCACAATCAACAAGGCAAGCAGATGGAAATTACAGAAATCTACTCTGCAGAGATCTGCTGACCCTCACGAGGGCTAAAATTAGGCAGACACAAGATGCAACAGCAGTATCTGACACTCACCAAACAGTAGCACTTACTACACTCTGCAAACAGTGTGACAGCTAGAAAGCATTTTCACTTCAAAGGGGGGATCCTTGCTGCCTGCTTGCTGTCTAAATGCTACAGTGTCCTAGGACAGTCATCAACTGATCAAAAAAGCCTCATGGGGGAGTAAGGGGAAAGACAAAAGTTACTTTAATAATGCCATGTGGAAAATCAGAGTTAGTCAATCAACAGGTCAGTCAAGTGGAAGAAAGAAAATAAACACTCCAATGATTTCACTAGATCAGCACTAACAGGTGCATTTGGATTTTGTTTATCTTGTGCTACTAATATGGGATGTATCTTTCCTGCAGAAAAAGGGGAAACCCCACTTTTAAAAAAGCCTATTTTTTTGTCAGCACAGACCATTTTAAAAAAAATTCTGCTCGTTGTATTTTATATTTTTGAATTGAATTATCTTATCTCTGGAGAGTTGCACACAGCTTTCATCTACTCAGAAATGCAAAAAAAAATATTACACTTTACATAAACATTTTTACAAATATTAATATTAGATAAAGAGAGAAAAAGAGAGAAACCATGGGAATTTCTTGCATTTCCCAATGGCAATTTAGTCTGGTTTTGTATCCTGAACTTCAGGAAATATGCCTGATTTAAATTAACCCATTTTCCTACAAATGAATGAAATACTGAACACAGCTAATGAAATGAAATCTGTCTTCCACAGACAAAAGAAGTGACTCTGGTGCCTGTCATATCATGTCTAATAGCAAGACTCTCACGTGATGCAGCAAAACCTGCATTTCAGAGAATGGGAACCAAGCAGTAATTTAGAATACCAGGGTTGGTATTTGAAAGAAAAAGTTCCAAAGATAAAGAATAATTTTTACCAAAATTTTTTGTCAGACATATGTATGCTGTGGATCACACTGAGTAGAGACCTTTCAGAATTTGAGCTACATGGAAATGGGAAATTTTATTAATATATTTTTTAATGTTTTTGAAGGATAATGAGTTGTTCTGGTTCAAAAAACAGAAGTCACAAATTTGATATTTCCTGTAAAATTCAAATTTCAAAGAATATTCATTATAGTCCATAAAAATATTAATTAATGTTTTGATTACTTTTAATCAGTTTTGATATACATATTTATTTCTCGTCTTATCATAGTATAATAGTATACAAATAAAATGCAAACTAAATTAATTACAACAATATCATTGAAATATACCAATATTACCAAAACACAGATTTAATTTTCTCTTTTCACCATCAAACATTCCATCCAAAGGAATACAGTTCCTGTAAAACATTTCCCAAGACCATTTTTTCATGGATAACTGCTTCATCCAAATATTTTGATTACATCTGTGCAGAATAATGCTAGTGCTGCTTCTTCAGTGGGCAGGAAGATTTAATCTGGCAGCAATAACAGGAAGCTTAGTTCTTTTTGAATATATTTTCTCATATTCTTACAATTTCCTACAATAATTTTAAGTATTAAACCATTATTTATTAAACTAATACATTAAGGAGCCATTTTGTATATTTCTTTATCTGTGCTCAGTTCCATTCTTTGCCACTAGTCAAAAGTAACTTTTATATAATACTTGTTGTTAAAAGTACTACTGCTTTTGAACTTGTCTGGTTGTCACCCACCAGCTGGGGGAAAAATGCTGGTTTTTGATAGAAGGGATATGTTTCATTTCATGACACAGGAAACAAAAGACTCTCTTTCTTACAGAATTTTGCATAAATAATGAGAAAACCTCTCCACTAACAGTGTCTCTTGGAGTGAAGGAGTAGTAAGTGTTGGAATTAAGCAAGAAAGATAAATAATATTGGGAGCAGAAAGACATGCATGGTCAGTAACCTAAATACTTTTAAAAAACATTTTAGTTATGAGACTGGACAAGGCAAATACTCTGCTCTTTGCTAGGAGTGGGTCACTGGAGGCTGAGGGAAGCTGGACTCCCTGGGATTTTACAAATGCTCCCAAATCACAAAACATGTAATGGTAAATCATCATCGTTAGCAGTCAAACTGCTAAATCCTGCTGTCCTCACATAACGTTTTCCTCCTCCACTGAAGGATAATAAAAGCCAAAGAAATAGCTAGTGTAAATAAAAGTGAACTTCAGGTATGAAAAGCTAAATGTGTGGCCATTGCAGACAGTGGGGGGTGAATCTCACAATGGCCTAGAAATCTTATTGTCACACCAAATGGAGTAAGCAGTGACTAAATAAGCCATTGTGGTTCTAAAGATGGTGAAGAAGCCCCTAAAGATGGTGTAAGGACTACTCTTGTACAGTACTTTGCTATTTCTCAACAACCTCTACACAGGGCATTTGAGTAATTTTAACTTAAAGCACCCTAAACGTCAAAGCCCTCTTTCCAAAAGCCTGAAAAATGACACCTCATGGCTGAGGGGACAAGTCAAGGGTAGTGCAGGCAATTCAAGCTGGCAGCCAGCCCAGACTGCACCTTTGTTTGCTCACTGTGGGTCTGACAAACCCAACAGAGCCTTTTGCTCCTTGGTTTTCCTGTGTACTTAGACCTGATGCTCTAAAACAATCTTCACAGGCACAAGTCTCCCTTGCCTCAGCTTGTGCGCAAACCACATCTGCGCTTTCTGATTTAACCAAAATTTCAAGATTCCATAAAATTTTGGCTTTAGGATTAAGGCAGATGAAAGATAAAATGGTAGAAATCATAAAATGATAGAATGGTTTGGGTTGGAATGGACCATAAAGACCATCCAGTTCCAGCCCCCTGCCATGGCAGGGACAGCTGCCACTAGACCAGGTTGCTCCAAGTCCCATCCAGCCTGGCCTTGAACATTTACAAGGATGTTGCATTACTTCTATTAACAAAAGTAATTACATGGGGAGTCTCTCTGGGATCTTAGCTCAGGAAAGTAAACTATGCTAAAGGACAGTACTGAAAAACATGCTGTAAAAAAGTGATCTGGCTCCTGACAGATATGAAACACCAGGTAATGGCTGGGTGCTGGAGGAGACATAAGCCTGAAATCTGTTTGACCTCCCTGAGCACTTTCTCTGGGCAGATACACAGAGCTCTGCCCTTGCAGCTGCTGCTGTACCTATCAAAAAATCCCCAGCTCTGCTCTTTGGGGTCAGGAGTAACACATTTTGTGTTGTTTACTCAGTCACCTGTGAGGGAAAACCAAAAGTCAATCCTGACCAGTTAAACCATGGGAGAGCTGCAAACCCAGCCCTTCCCCAGAGGAGAGGAATCTGTGCACCTGGAGCTCTGGCTCCACACCCAGCAAGCACTATGACCCAAGAAGTCTTGTCCAGAAGAGGGGTTTTTCCCTGGTGAGGGAGGGCCCTTGCCCAAGGCTGTGGCAGCTATCATCGCTCCTCCTTGCCTCCCTGAGCACCCCCAGAGGAAAAGTGAGAGCCCAGAAGGAGACTGCCCAACACGTGGATGTAGGGGCAGTTGGGATGGGGATAAGACTAGAGCCTGGGAGCTGGGATGGGACCAGCAGCAGGATCTGGGTGTGAAGGCCAGAAAGAGCTAAGTGAGGAGTGGACCAGTTGGGGCTGTCCCAAAGCTAGAACCTGAGAAGGACCAGACTGTGCTCAGCCATGGCCTGACATGCCCAGGTCCTCTCACAGGTGGGGAAACAGGAGATGGGAAGAGTGCTCCCAAACAAGGAGCACAAATAGATTGGTTCTGAAGCTGGGCTGAAGGTCAGGAAGCCAAAAATAGATTGGTTCTGAAGCTGGGCTGAAGGTCAGGAAGCCAAAGGCCCAGACAGTAAAAGGATCAAACCCAACATTCACCCCAGCACTGCTGCAGCTCAAGGCTGGTGATGGGTGGCCAGAGTGGTCCTGGTATCCCTTCTCCTGGCTCCAACAGGGAAGGTTGTGAGTCAGCAACAGAGAAACATGCACAGCAGGGCAGAAAATCAAATGCTTTCAAATAACATGCCCTGCTCACAGGATTCACTGTCAGAAATCCCTGCAGTGACCTTCAGGGGCAGGTCTTTGGTGGCCATCAGTATGTGACAAACAGTCCCAAGCTGGAGCGAGAAGCCACCCGCCCCAGAACCCCTCCCCGCTGGGACTCACATGAGGGAGACGGTGAAGTGGAAGCGCTGCCGCAGCCCCTTGAAGGTGATGAAGGACTGAGGGGGGAAGCTCCTGGTGGTCATCTCGCAGTAGGGCCGCTCGTACTCGCCGGGGGGGCACTCGCACTTGAAGCCCCCGATGAGCAGGTTCACGCAGGTGCCCCCGTTCTTGCACACGCCCGGGGCGCAGCGGCCGGAGCGCGCGTTCACCTCGCAGGACTCTCCTGCAACGGGAGAAGCAGACGTCAGGGAAGGGGGCACCTCAGCCCGGCACCAAGGTGAGACACTCAGCTACCCAAGGGGTTCTGCTACAGGTCAGGCTACTTCCAAACTCATGTTGCACCTGATCCCCATAGCAACTGAGGTACAAGCCTGTGATTGCTGGGGGTAAGAATGCTGCATCTTCTTCAAGTCTGAATTTTCAGGGAAGTGTGGAATATGATTTGCTGAGCAATCCTCTTGCAAATATCCAACAACATTGGCCTATAGTTTTCAGATTCCTTGGCTGCTTCCAAACTGAGTGACAAATACAGACCTGGTGACAGATCTAGATGGGGGAGGTAAAAACCCTGCACATTCTCTGTCAACCAAAATATGTGCAAATTGTTTTGGTGTTTCACTACAGTTGAAAATTGTGTAAAACAGATAAATGGTTTCACTTTGTCTCAAATGGGATTTGGCTTTGCTGCCCATGGTGGCAGCAGGACATGGCTGAGCTCATGACAAAGCTCTCAAAATGTCTATAGTAAGAACAAGCAGGATACAGATGACATAGGGATTGCTTCCACCTTTTCCCACACATGCATCCTGCAGGTGATGACAATTTTCTGAACCCTCTGGAGAAGGGCACATTAACTCTCCATAGAAGGTATGGATTCTGTGTGCCACTTGCTAAGTTGTTTCACCCCTAAATAATTTGTCTTTATTCATACCCAAAGCATGTAGTAGGATGTGTTAAATACAATACTAAAGAATGCAGTGTCTTGCTTTGTATATATGCCATGGGTTTCTGTCCTGTGCTTACCCAAAATCTGAGAATAAATTCCCATTAAAAGAAAAAAAAAGTACAGAGGATATTAATTTTAAACTATCTGCTGTGGCTGGGACAAAAGCAGCTGCTGGATTAATCATTGTACAGAAAGCCAAACCCTCTGTGTGAGTTAATTAGTTAACATTGGCATTTTGACAAGTGTCTTCCTATGGTATGTTCACATCCCACATGTAAAACTGTTCAGAGGAACTGGAGGTGGCATATACAGTTGAATTGAACCCAGTAATGGTGTCTGACAAATAAATGTAGAGCAATACTACTCAACACAGCCAGATGAAGGAATACATTTCTGACACTCCAGTGTTTGCATGACCACTGCCACCAGATGATACAATTACATTGGGACAGGCTCTTTGCAGTGCTCAGCAAGAGGACAAGGGGCAACAGGCACAGACTGAAAAGCAGGAAATTCCATCTGAGAATGAGAAAAACCTTCTGTCCTTTGAGGATGACAGAGCACTGGAATGGGCTGCCCAGCGAGGCTGTGGAGTCTCTTTCAGTGGAGATATTTGAAACCCATCTGGACATGATCCTGTGCAACTTGCTGTGTGTGACCCTGCTTTAGCAGGGGTCTGGAGGAGCAGAGACCCCTCCCAACCCTGACCATTCCATGGTCCTGTGATTGATCCAAGCACAGTTAAAACCGTGAAAACACATTCCTGCAGGAAAGTAAAAGCAGCAGGAGCTGTGGGCAGTGACTCATTAACAAAGGCAAATTAAAATGGAAAGTTTTGTTCCATTTAGTGCTCCACAGCCCAGCTCCCACAGGTTCCCACGCCAAAGCTGCCCACACTGGGAGGCTGAAGGCAGCACTACAGTGCACCCAGAGCTGGGGCTGCAGCTTCTTTCTGTGCCAGGCTGTAAATGCCATGGTTTGCAGCTGGTGTAGCCACTGCCCCAAGGGCAGTGATCTCTGAGATAAGGTGAGGTGGGCAGCTTTGTGGTTTTGGCTCTCTGGCTTTGCTGCCTTTTTCTTCTTGCATCAACATCACTTGCTTTTTAGACCAGGTATGGCTTAAGCTGGCAAAATGAAGGAGCAAACTCAAGACTGCTGTGATCAGGAGCCAGGCACACCCCAACCAGGAGGGGCCAGCTCTGGAGGATGGACCTGCTCTGTGCATTACTCTGAGCTAATAAACCACATAGCCTTGAGTCCAAGCCTCTGCTTAGAGGTTTTCCCCTTCAGCACTCATGTTCCTATATTCTCACTTTAACATATTAAGTGAAATGCTGTGAAAATCACTTGATAAATATCTTCCTGTTTCCATTTATCAGCTCTACATATCAGGCAAGATTATGTGAATATACTTTCCTTAATATTTTTAAATGCTCTATAATGTGTTTCTTTTGGAAAAAAATGTATATATCATCCAAGACATCCCTCTGTATACTGGATATGGTGCACACATGCATCAGATGTTTTAAGAGGACACTACAGCAAGCACTTGTTGATGAACCACTGCATAAACACAGCCCTTATACACATATCTTGTGTACCAAAACTCTCAAAAAAGTGGAAAAACAAAATTCCTACAGAAAGAAAAAACAGAGGTTTGTTGATTCAAAAAAAGTAGTAGGATATTTTGTGAAATAATTCCCTGACTCACAGAAGAATGTAATCTTCAACGCTTTCTGGGAACAGAATGATGTGTTTTGTAAAAGCAAATAACACGGAGGCTTGAATACACAGAGAGAAAAAGGGTGAGCTAAAAGGAGAGATTCCTGGCATTGCAGCATGCTGTGGAATTGCCATGGCAATACAGAGGTGAAACATAAAAGCTTAAGCTGGAAATCATTGATGGTTCTGTATTAATTCTGTGATATAACAAGAATATATAGAGTGTTTGTTTAGATACCTATACAGGCATAGAACTGTTTAAGAGAAAAGCCTACAGAAAAGTTATATTGTATTGGTTTTATTACTTCTTTTCATTATGATGTGTAAAGAAGTAAATTAAAATAATATACTTCAAGATTCTTTGTCCCATATTTATTCAGTTGTAGCATCATTGATGTCCCAGTTACTAAAATTATTCTGAATTCTCTTAAGTCTGTAATGTAAATGAGAACTGCATTTGATGCATATTCTTTGATGTTGAATTTTCATATTTTATGTGTATTTACCAAAATATATTAAAATAGTGGTTTTGAAATCTCAACAGTAAATCCAAGGTGTCACTGTGCTTTGAGACACAAAGGTTACCAAAAAACCTTTTGTTTTTTAAACTTAAAAACCTTAATTACCCTTTTCTCCAAAAGTGCCTGGAATGATTTAGAAACAGAGCATTTTTGCCTTTTGGAGTAGCCATCTGAGCAAGGATTGGAAGCACTGCTTTGATCAGGACTGGCAACAGAAGGCACCTTTGTGTCACCCTTGGGTTTGCCACTTCCAAGGGCAGCCACCTCCCCTTGGACACACCACTGTCCCACAGCTCTGCCCTGCAGGAGTTTTGAGGCACAGCCTAAAAACCATCCTCAGAATTGGAACCAAAGCCTGCATGGACTTGAAGGAAGAGCTGGTTGCTGGCTGGAGCCAGAAGGCCCTAAGGGAAGAGCTGCCTGAGGAGTAGGAGAGGAAGGAGCTGCCTGTGCCAGCCCCTGGGAATGAAAAGCGCCTGTGTGCCTGCTTGCAGCGGAAGGTCGCAGGGCTGGCACGTGCCATCAAAGGGTGGCCTTAGAGTCTGGTAGGAAAAAATAGCACAGTAGGGGGAGAGCTGCTGTGCAGTGAGGGTCTGGAGGGGCTGGGGTGATAAAAGCACAGCCCAAATAGCTGTCACACACAGCCTGGGGTCAGTCTGTGAGGCTGGTGATGGCGGCATGGCTCAGCCCCTCACCCAGCCTGTGAAACCCTCCTTTGCTCCTCACAGCATTTCCTTGACTAATATAATTTCATTTTTCACACTGGCTTGCATTTTAGGAATCACTGAGCAAACTAGTTACACATCACAGCTCGTGGGATCCAAGCAGGGGATGTGAAGCTCAGCCCCTCCAGCTGCTGAAGCTAAAGCATGCACTCTCAGATAACACGGGCTGTGGCTGCCTGTTATCTGCCAGCAGATTCCTGGGCTTTGAAAAAATTCTGCCCTTGCCAGAAAATGATTTACTGTGACATGCCAGTAGCTGAACTTATAGGCTCCCAATTAATACTGATGACTTTTAAAGCTACTAGTCCTGTGGCTTTTCTGCAGCCCTTTATGTAGTGCTTCCTGTTTTTAATGCCCTTGAGATCAAAATGTCATAGTTGCTTTGGACGCTGCAAACTACTCACAAACATCCTATCTTTAATACATACCTATCCTCTTCAATTTTAGGACTAATGCTACAAAGATGTTAATCATAAAGTTCCTGTTAAATTTATGTAAGTGAGGACAACATGATAGCAGGTGCAAAATAACAAGAACAGGCAAATACAAAGGCTGGCTAAATTTGGTCTTCCTCTGACCAATTCCAAATAAAGTAATAAAAGTTTAACTAATAAACAATAAATGACGATGAAAAAAGTGAAAAAAAAAGCTGTCTTGTGAAAAAAAAAACAAACCTGAGACAATAATCACACAATTGCAAATGCCTTGTGAGTTCAACATTGTGGGTTTCAAGCTACACACTGGTGTGCATCAATGAGCTGGTCTTTGCAGAAATCTGCAAAAACTGTGGTTTTGCCGATGAGTTGTTTGACTTTACAACAACGCTGTAAAATGTTTGAAAACTTGCTGGAAACAAAATGATGGCATTCAAATACATACAGAATTCCTCTTCACATCAGTTTACTGCAGTGTGTTTCACCAATACACCAGTTTAGGGACTAGTCCTCAAATTTTTTTACTATTCTCGGATTGTATTCAACTGAAACAGTACATTAAATATATATTTACATGAAGCAGCAAATTTGCACTGATGTTCTGTTTTCATCAGTTTCCCTGGACACATTAATTTTTTACTCACTGTCTGTAATTGTTTGAATTGATTCTTTTCTCCTTTCCTCATCCTGCCACTCGCTCTAGACACATATTAATTTTCTCTATGCTTATAGTTGCTTTGCCAGAATAAACAACATGTTGAGAAACTGATTTAAGCAGCTGACCTAAAATTATATACTTTAAAGTGGAAAGGAGAATCCATAAGAATTAAGGCAAAAGGAGAAACAACAAGAAGTAGAACTAAATTCTTAAAACA